AGGTTCCTCAGTTCTGACTGAATGGGAAGGAATAGCAGGATTTAAATTCTTAGCTGTGATCTGGTGGTTCTGAGGGTTGATATTAGGGTCACTGGGTACACTTGTGGGTTTATCTGTGCACCTGAATCAGTACAAACAGGTGTGGAACTTCTTGGAACCGCTGAAAGGACTGCGTTGTGTACAGGTTGTGTATCTCTCCTCCTCTGTTGATGGGCTGCTCGATTTTAACGTAAATGGCCTCTTTGACCCCAGAGAGGACCTCAAACCAGACATCCTCTCTGTCCAGAATGTGGACTTTGCTGTCCTCAAAAGAGTGGCTTTTCTCTTTCAAATGCAGATGGACCGCTGAATCCTCCTTTGATGGGTTTGTTCTCTTGTGTTGTGCCACGCGTTTGTGAAGTGGTTGTTTTGTTTCTCCAACGTACAGATCTGCACATGTCTCGCTGCATCTACCACATTGCTCAGTTTGCGCCTGGGTGTTTTATCCTTCGGGTGGAACAAGCTTCTGCCTTAATGTATTCTTGGACTTAAAAGTGTGCACGTATGTTGTGTTGTCTTGAAAAAAGTACAACACAGTCCTTTCAGCAGTCCCAAGAAGTCTCTACTACACCCATTTGCGCTACTCAGGTGACCCTGAGGACACAGATAAGCCTCCAAATGGCTCAATGACTCTCAGAAAGAGTGCTAACGACCAGAGGACTGCAAGGAATAAAAATCCTTCCATTTCCCACCATTCTGTCAGAACGGAAGAAGCTTCTTGGATGAGAAGCAAAACATCTTCAAAGGAAAAAAAAAAACAACTCAAGAAAGTATTTTGGAAAAAGCACCTTTGGGACAAGCATGTCCTGGCTGACTGGGAATCTCTATTCACATAGAGGCTTAGCTAATTGTTTTCCAATGAAGTGGGCTTCCCATTGCAGGTTTAACAGGTTAACAGAGTTGGAAGAGACCTTGTAGGTCATCTAGTCCAACCCCCACCCAAGCAGGAGACCCTACACCATATCCGAGAGGTGGCAGTCCAGTCTCTTCTTGGAAGCCTCCAGTGATGAAGTTCCCACAACTTCCAAAGGCAACTTCTGTTCCACTGGTAGATTGCTCTCATTGTCAGAAAATTCCTCCTTATTTCTAGGTTGAATCTCTCCTCGATCAATTTCCATCCATTCTTCCTTCTCTGGCCTTCAGGGGCTTTGGAGAATAGCTGGACCCCCTTCCTCCTCTCTGGGGCAGCCCCTCAAATATTGGAAGAGGCTCTCCTGTCTCCCCTGGTCCTTCTCTTCACCAGACTATCCAGGCCCAGTTCCTGCAATCGTTCATTGTCTGTTTGAGCCTCCAGTCCCCTCATCATCCTGGTTGCTCTTCTCTGCACTCTTTCTAGAGTCTCCACATCTTTCTTTCTTTCTTTCTTTCTTTCTTTCTTTCTTTCTTTCTTTCTTTTCTTTTTTCTTTCTTTCTTTCTTTCTTTCTTTCTTTCTTTCTTTCTTTCTTTCTCTCTCTCTCTCTCTTCTTTCTCTTTCTTTCTTTCTTTCTCCTTTCTCTTTTTCTCCTCCACTCTAACCTTTACCTATCTCTCCTTCCTCCCTCCCTCCTTCCCTCCCTCTTTGATTTGCTAAGCCAGCAACTTCTGTTCCATTGGTTGATTGTTCTCACTGACAGGAAATTTCTCCTTATTTCTAGGTTGTCCTTGATCAATTTCATCCATTGTTCCTTCTCTGGCCTTTGGGTGCTTTGGAGAATAGCTGGACCCCCTTCCTCCTCTCTGGGGCAGCCCCTCAAATATTGGAAGATGCTCTCCTGTCTCCCCTGGTCCTTCTCTTCCCTAGACTAGCCATGCCCAGTTCCTGCAACCGTTCATCATGTTTTATCCAATCCCCTCATCATCCTGGTGGTCCTCGCCTTACGAACACAATCAGAAACTTCATCGCTAATCAAAGCGGTAAATGAGCTGTGAAGTGAGCTAAGCCACAATGTGATTTGGGTTCAGCAAAACCAGTTGTGTAAATAGAGCCATTGTGTTATACTCAGTATAATTACCAGGTGACACAAATCTACTTCATAGCTAGATGGCAGCAAAAACTTAAAATATTCTGAATATCTTTGCTTGCTGTCATCTTACCTCCTGGCCAGGTTTCTGCAAGTGATGTGGTTTATAAGGCACGCAAACACGTTTTAGAGAGCCAGTTTTGGTGGCATGGTTAAGGCATTAGGGTAATAACCGGGAGACGGTGATGAGTTCTAGTCCTGCCTTAGGAACAAAGCCAGCTGGGTGATCTCGGGCCAGTCCCTTCCTCTCAGCCCTAAAAAAGCAACGGCTTCTGAAAAAAAAAACCATTTGCCAAGAAAATGGCCTAACTCTCCTCTTTTAAATTTTTAATTCGTGTGATTTTATAAATTGGGTGTTTTAATCTGTGTTTCGGCCAAAATATTTAATAATTTTAAGGGATTTTTTTAAATATTTGTATTATCTGTATTTTATCTTGGCTGTTCACCGCCCTGAGTCCTTCGGGAGTAGGGCGGTATAGAAATTTGATTAATAAATAATAAATAAATAATAAAACTGCAGGGCTGTGTCCAAACAGTCTCCAGAGAACTGGACATGAATGAATGCAGAAGAGCAGAGTTGGGAGGGACCTTGGAGGTCATCTAGTCCACTCCCCTCTCAAGCTCATAGAATCGTAGAATCTAAGAAGGCACCTTGGAGAGCTTCTAGTCCACCCCCTGCCCAAGCTCTTAGAATCATAAATTCATAGGGCTGAAAGGGTCCTCGGAGGTCTTCTAGTCCACCCCCCTGTTCAAGCAAGGGAGCCCTCTACCCGTGATGCCGAACCTACGACACGCGTGCCGCAGGCGGCACGCGGAGCCATATTGGTGGGCACGCGAGCTGAGCTCCGGTGCGCATGCGTGCGCCGGCCAGCTGATTTTCAGGCCCTCTGGGCCCACCAGAAGTCAGGAAACATGCTGTTTCTGGCCTCCGGAGGATCTCTGTGGGGTGAGGAAAGCCCGTTTTTTGCTCTCCCCGGGCTCCAGAGCCTTTCTAGGAGCCTGGGGAGGGTGAAAACAGCCTTCCCAACCTCCGTAGGCCGGAAATGGCCCGTTTCCCGACTTCTAGTTCCACCGGAAGTCCAGTGGCCCACCATTCCAAAAGCAGGGGGAGCATGGGGTTTACGCACGCATGCACAGGGGGCGGGGCACATCGAATTATGGGTATGGGCACGTGTGCGCATGACCCCCCACGTCCCCCCCCCGGGCTTTTGGCCCTCAATGGCAAAAAGGTTAGCCTTCACTGCCCTATACCATTCCAGAGAGACGGCTGTCCAACCTTTTCTGGAAAAGCTGTGGCTTTAAAAGCAGACAGCAGCAAAAATGGAAATCCTCCTCGGAGCAGCCGTTCCAGTCAGCAAGATTTCGCTTCCTGCAGAGCCGGTCGGGTGGCCGTGGCGCGAAGGCGGGGCAGGGCATGAGTGTCTTCCACGCGGGGTGCCGGCGAAGGAATGTCAGTAGGTGTGTCTGCCAAGGAGGGAGCTTCGCTCCCAGCGGATGAGCAGAGATAAAAATCTGTGGCCACTGGAGCTGGGTGGGGCCTGCTGCGTTCAGGGGCTGGTATCACCTTTTGATGCGCCTTTTGATGCAGCTAGTCCTCAAGGGGACTCATTAAAAAGGAAAACACAGATAAAACTATTAAAACAGCAAAGCAAGACTTCACAAAAAAAAAAAGGGGGGGGGAATCTCCTCAGATCGCACCTTCAACCCAAAGGAAGCCGCCGCCCAGAGTATATAAATATGTAAAATAACTACAGGCAGTCCTGGACTTACGACCATTCGTTTAGTGACCGCTCAAAGTTACAATGGCGCCGAAGCAAAGTCACTTACGACCTTTCGTCAGACTTAACGACCCTTGCAGCATCCTCCTGCGATCAAAATTCAAACGCTTGGCAACTGACTCGTACTTATGACGGTCGCAACGTCCGTCATGACGACCTTTTGCGACCTTCTGACCAGAAAAATCCACGTGGGGAAGCCTAGATCCATTCAACAACCGTGTTACTCACTTAACAACGGTGGCAAGAAAGATCAAATGGAGCAAAACTCAATTATGGTCTCACTTAGCGATGAAGAGTTTGGTTCAATTGCGGTCGTAAATCGAGGACTCTCTGCAATATATAAATGAACACTTTGATTGCGATAAAGCAACTGCAATTTAACTGCTGGGGGCACATCTGGATGGGCTTAAGAGAGCCAAGGGGGTCTAAGGGGCTTTGAAGCACGTTTCTTTTGAAAAATGGTATGTACAAGTGGTCCTCGCTTTATGACCGCAATTGGGCTCTCTGGCTTTCCCTTGCAAAACGAGGCAATTGTTCAGCGAGCCGCTCCCGATTTGTTCGCCGTTCAGCAAATAGCTGCAATTGTCGAGTGAATCAGTCCGTCGTTAAGCGAATCCAGCTCCTCCCACGGGCTTTGCATGTCGGAAACTGGACGGGAAGGTCACAATTGGTAACCCTGGGGAAATGCTACAACCGTTGTAAATACACACCAATTGCCAAGCACCTGGATTTTGATCCCGTGAGGCTCCTCTTAGCGCGAGGACCGGTTGCAAGTCGATCCCTCCGGTGTCGTCATAACTCCGAACAGTCACTAAACAAACCCGTTGTAAACGGAGCACTGGAAACAACCCACATCGGTCCTTCAGGCTTTCGAGGTCTCATTTTTAGGGCCCTGGGTTCTTCGGAGGGCGCCCCCCCCGCCACAAATCCCCCATTTTGGCACCCAGCTTCGGAGTTGGCACCCCAGGAATTGTGATGACTTGACACGGCCACCGAGCCGCTCTGGCACTCCACCCCCCCCCCCCGCGAAGCCTTTTCCCTTTATAAACCAAACCCCCCCCCCCCCCCCCCCCCCCTTTTTGAGAAACACCTGTTCAAACTTGCTAAACAGGTTAATATTTTTTTCCCTGGCTGGCTTCCCCTCCCTCCGGTCTTGTGTGCGAGGAACAGGTTGCAGAGTTTCAAAACACAAGCAGAAGACAACTCCGGCAGAGTTCACCACAACTTTCGTGCCGGGATCTGGAAGCGAAGACGCCCCCCCAACACCCACCATACACACACGGATGCCCGCCGAAGACCCCCAGCTTCCTCCTCCAAACAGGGGCCCCTCCGGTCAGTGACACCACGATGGGACTCTGTGCGTCTCTCCTGCGGGTGTGAGCGGGTGTGCGTGGCACACACAAGCGGAGACTGGTGAGGAGGTTGCTGGGGTTGAGGAGGAGCAAGGACGGATTGTAGAGTTTGGCGAGGGGTCCGAGACTTTTGGGGGAACCGAGGGGAAGTGTGCAAGGAACGTTTTGACCCCTGGCACCATCATCCACTCCCTTTGCACACCATGCTGTGGAACATCTGTCTTCTGGTCCTGCCAATCTCTGGTAAGTTGTTGGTTTTCTCCTCTTCTCCGTAATTTTCTCCGCGAGTTGTCATCCTGGGCTCTTGCTTTCTGGATGCTTTCCACCCACCAAAAAAATTGACATTTTGACCAACGGGTGATTGACAGTTTTGCTATCATCTTTTGCTTTGCTTCGGGGAGCCCCTTTCGGGTGGGGCAGGACCCACGCACGACCCCCCCCCATGTCCCCATCCCTTTCGCTCTCTTGATTATTATTTTTTTTGCACCGATGGAGAAAGTATGTAAAGAGGCACACCTGTGTGAAGGTGGCACCTGGCAGATCTTTTGAGGCTGGCTTGTTTATTGCATCGTTGGCGATCTTCCCTACAGGTAGTCCTCGACTTACAACAGCTCACTTAGTGACCAGTTCAAAGTCACACTGAAAAGAGCCCCTTATGGCTGTTTTTCCACGCTTGCGACCGTCGCGGTATCCCCATAGTCACGCTATCAAAAAAAAAATCAGAGGCATAGCAACCGACTCCTACTTACGACGGTTGCCGGGGTCACGGGGTCACTTTTTGTGACCTTCGGACGAACCTCGTCCACGGGGAAGCCGGATTCCCTTAACAACTATGTTACTTTCATGACAGTGATTCACTTAACGACGGTGGGACAAAAGGTAATAAAACGGGACAAAATTCACCTAACAAATGTTTCTCTTGGCAACAAAAACTTTGGGCTCAGTTGCGGGTCGTAAATTGAGGACTGCCTGTAGTGTGTTTTATCGGTTTTATTGATCAGTTCGATTTGTTGCAAAAGTTGAGGATAGAATTCATATATATTTTTTTAGGGATGTTGAGTCTCTTTTCTGGAGGAATCTCCAAAAAACGTCCGAATGGAACAAACCGACATGCATGTTAGTTTTTCCAACTGGGATCCGGAAGTGACTTCCTCGGGCATCGCGGGCTGGGCATAGGAACTGGCAGCAGCAGCAATCGCTGAAAATCCTCCAACCTGTGAATTAATTGTCCGGTAAATGAGTTGTCAGGGAAAACGGAGCTGGTTTGAAATTGCAAGCAAGGAAAAAAAAAGAAAACACCAATAAAATAAAATTGGCAGCAATCCGTTAGGCGGAGCCGAGGGTAAGGCTGGGTTGCCAAGCTGGCAGCAGCGCCAAACTTTCTTTGAAAGAAGAGCAAAACACAACGCCGGGAATTTCTTAATCTCTTCGTAAAGATCTTTTCATACGGCAAACGAGAATTACTTTCTTTAAAAAAAAAAAATCGCGTAAATCCCCATCGGGGTGAAGCTCCACCAAAGCCTAAAATTTCATGCTTTTTTGGAGAAAGATGCTCGTGTGTTTTTTTTTGGCTTTCTCTTATCGTCTTCTCTTATCGTCTTCGTGCAAAAGGCAAATTTGGGTGAAAATGCCCGGTTTCTGTTGTTTTTGCCTTCTGGATCGGTTGCTTGTCTCTACACGAAAGGGACCAGGAAGAGAAGGGGTGGGAGGTGGGAGTGGGGTGGGCTTTGCTGGAAAAAGTCAAGATGAATAATTTAGAGCAATGTTTTCCGAATTTGGGGACTTGGAGATGGGAGGACTTCAGTGGTGGGATTCAGCCGGTTCGCACCACTTCGGGAGAACCGGTTGTTAACTTTCTGAGCAGTTTGGCAAACTGGTTGTTGGAAGAAATCATTAGGGCAGAGAACCGGTTATTAAATTACTTGAAGCCCATCACTGGTGGACTTCGATTCCCAGAATCCCCCAGCCACAAACATACCTAGCAGGAAATTTATATGGGCTTCGGTCAAGCCATGTTGGAGCCTTTATCCCAGTGTTTCTCAACCTCTGGCACTTGAAGATGCATGGATTTCAACTTCCAAAATTAAAGCTTGCTGGCTGGGGAATTCTGGGAGTGGAAGTCCTCCCATCTTAAAGCATGCCGGCTGGGGAATTCTGGGAGTTGAAGTCCACCCATCTTAAAACATGCTGGATGGGGGATTCTGGGAGTTGAAGTCCACCCATCTTAAAACATGCTGGCTGGGAATTCTGGGAGTGGAAGTCCTCCCATCTTAAAGCATGCCGGCTGGGGAATTCTGGGAGTTGAAGTCCACCCATCTTAAAACATGCTGGATGGGGGATTCTGGGAGTTGAAGTCCACCCATCTTAAAACATGCTGGCTGGGGAATTCTGGGAGTGGAAGTCCTCCCATCTTAAAGCATGCCGGCGGGGAATTCTGGGAATCGAAGTCCACCCATCTTAAAACATGCCGGCTGGGGAATTCTGGGAGTTGAAGTCCACCCATCTTAAAACATGCTGGATGGCGGATTCTGGGAGTTGAAGTCCTCCTGTCTTAAAGCCTGCTGGCTGGGGAATTCTGGGAGTTGAAGTCCACCCATCTTCAAGTGCCAGAAGTTGAGAAATCCTGCTTTATCCTGACCAGTTGATGCAAAGTTTTCATGTCATCAAGACAGAGCTGGCTTGTCATCCTTTACAACCGGCAGACAATGTCCCTGCCCATGTGCAGAGTTCCCCATTGCATTGGACCGCCAGAGGAAGCTCTCTCTGTGAAGTTTCCCCATCGGGATGTTTTGCCAGATCAGGAAATGCTCCGCTAGCGATGGTTGACCCCGGGTCTTTCCCACTCCAGCAAACGGGGGACCCTCAGCCCACCCCAAAAAAACCAAAGTGGCCGCCACCCAATGGGGTTGCCGTTGTGTTTGCACGGCCCACTGAGCCAGGCTGAGCCCAGCGGATGGGTGACTCAACCTGCGGGGGATGATGATCCTGAAAAACTGGTTTGGAGAGATAACCGCGGATAAGGGTGTCGTGACAGCTGAGGTTGTGTGGGTTCCCTGCGGAGTCTCTACCTGTTGGGCTGCGTAGCCTCTCTCCTCCCCTCCTCTCCCCTCCCTGGCACCAGCCGCTCTTCAGTGACTCGGCAGGTTTTCTGCATCGGAGCTGCTGCCTCAGCCTTCTTGCTGGGTGCCCGCAGGGCTCTGGCACCCCCTGAGTCACCGTGCCAGCCTGGGAAAAGTGGCAGGCTGGCAGAGCTTGGTTGGAGGGCGAGGGGTCAGCAGAATGGCAAACCAGTTGCTTTCCTCCCTCCCTTCCTTTTGCCTTCCTTCCTTCAATTCCCAGAATTCCCCAGCCAGCCTCGTTTTGGAAGGAAGGAAGAAAAAAAAAAAAAAGGGGGGGGAGAAACAGGGATTGGTAAGAATGCAGAATAGTGCTTGAATTGCGATGTGTAACAGGAAATGCCAAGTGTCACCCAAGTGCTAGTGCTATTTGCACACACATGGAACGCACAGACCTACTTGCCATTTCCTTGTTGACCACATGCACACACACGCACACGCCCAGTGGCAAAGTCGGCTTTTTAACAAATTAACAGAGCTGGAAGGGACCTTATAGGTCATCTAGTCCAACCTCCTTTCCAAGCAGGAGACCCTACACCATTTCTGCAAAAGGCAGTCCTGTCTTTTCTTGAAAGCCTCCAGGGATGAAGCTCCCACAACTTCTGAAGGCAACTTCTGTTCCACCGGTTGATTGTTCTCACTGTCAGAAAATTTCTCTTCGTTTCCAGGTTGAATCTCTCCTTGGTCAGTCTCCATCCATTCTTCCTTGTCTGGCCTTCGGGTGCTTTGGAGAATAGCTGGACCCCCTTCCTCCTCTCTGGGGCAGCCCCTCGAATACTGGAAGACGCTCTCCTGTCTCTCCTGGTCCTTCTCTTCACCAGACTATCCATACCCAATTCCTGCAACCGTTCTTCCTATTTTGAGCCTCCAGTCCCCTCATCATCCTGGTTGCTCTTCTCTGCACTTCTTCTAGAATCTCGAAATCTTTTTTATAGTGTGGTGACCAAAAGTGGATGCAGGACTCTAGGTGTGGCCTTACTAAGGCTTTATAGAGTGGTATTAGGACCTCCCTTGATCTTGATTGTATCCCTCTGTTAATGCAACTTAGGATCGCATTGACTTTTTTAGCTGCCGCTGCACACTTTTGGCTCATATTTAGCTTGGTGTCCATTAAGACTCCAAGATCCCTCTCACAGTCACTGCTCTTAAGCCTGGTTTCCCCAGTTTATATGTGCACTTTTGGTTTTTCTTGCCTAAGTGTAAGACTTTGCTTTTCTCTCCGTTGAATTTCATTTTGTTAGACTTTGTTCAAGTCCGTCAAGATCCATCTGGATCTTGAGCTTGTCTTCTAGGGTGTCGGCTGTTCCTGCCAGCTTAGTATCATCTGCAAATTTGATGAGTTCCCCTTTTACTCCCTCATCTAAGTCGTTTATGAAGATATTGAAGAGTACTGGGCGTAAGACAGAACCTTGTGGTACCCAGCTGCTTACTTCCCTCCATGTAGACGAAGTCCCATTAAGGACTACTCATTGAGTACGGTTTGTCAGCCAGTTACGAATCCATCTGGTGGTGATGCTATCTTGTCCCACTTTTTTCTAGTTTACAAAGAAGTAGATTGTGGTCTACTTTGTCAAATGCCTTTGCTGAAGTCTTAAGTTTATTATGTCCATAGTATTTCGCTGGTCTACTAATTCAGTCACTATGTTGAAGAATGAAATAAGATTATTATTATTAGTTCAATTTATATGCCCACCCAGGGCTGGGTTGATCTGTTTTAACAAACCCGTGCTGACTGCTAATTATTACTTTACTTGGTTTGTTGTTGCATATCCTTGAAAGAGGCTGGGGACGGCAGTGTGTGTTTGTATGTGTGTGTGTATTCAGTGGCTGAGGTTGCAGGATGTGCAGTCCGGAGTCTGCAGAGCAAAAGAGCTGAGCAGCCGCATTCAACCTTTAGAGGAAAACTCCAGTTGCCTCCCTTCCTCCCTTTTTCCTTCCTTCCTTCCTTCCTTCCTTCCTTCCTTCCTTCCTTCCTTCCTTCCTTCCTTCCTTCCTCCCTCCCTTCCCTTTTCCTTCCTTTTTCCTTCTTTCCTTCCTTCCTTCCTTCCTTCCTCCCTCCCTTCCCTTTTCCTTCCTTCTTTTTTCCTTCCTTCCTTCCTTCCTTCCTTCCTTCCTCCCTCCCTCCCT